TCCGTTTGTTAGTTGATTTTCCGTAACTTCGTTCCGACGAAACTTTAGCGACACAAGTCCTTACTTAATAAAACTGGTTTATTCTTTCGGAATACAACTTTACGATACACTTAATTTCAACAGTCGCGCTATAACAAACGCTAAAACAACGCACGTTAACTTCAACAATACTTTCTGACTGCAGTTCAATTACTCACTACCTACACACACACACACTGTCACGTCACGCCGTGACCATCTTATATATACCAGGCCACCCCCAATATAGCAAATTCTAGAGCACTCCCGAGGGAACAGGATAGTTCTAGAAAGCAGGTGGCGTGACACTAGTCACGTGACCTCGCTGACGCAACAATATGAAATTCACAGTTTTATCAAAGCACTGAATTAATTAGTGTTTTGCAAACCAAAATCTAGTATAAATCATTTATTAACAAAGCAGAGTAATTTTTATCGTAAATCTAACAGGCAAATGATAAATATAAAGCAACACGAAAAGAGTATGCTAAGAAATGTCTTCTATAATAAAAGTTTGTAATTTTAAAAATTCTGAATTTTAATTGTAATTCATTCCCATGTATTTTTCATATCGTTTTATGGTACACGTTTAATAGGACTATTCGTGTTATATTATTTATTTTAACTGTTATTTTTATATTTATATTTTAGTTAAGTATTTTATCCGTATAAATAGATACTAATTGTACGTCATCAATGCACTTGTCTACGTTATTTAAAAACTGAATGAGTGGAAATGATCAGTGTGTCAAAGAAATTATCGTCTCTTAATTGCTTCAAAGAAAAAAATATATGGTACATTCTCCAATATTTTTTTTCATACAAGTAAAGAAAGATGATCACTTTCAACGCAAATTGACCCAACTGCATCCTTTTTGAATGACGTCACAGAGATGGAGGTCAGCGTGGGGCATGTGGGAAAGGAGGGAAAGAAAATTGAGCTAATGTTAGGCTTAAACTATTTAAATGTTTTTAAGATAGAAATGAGAAGGATTCTTATGTTATAACGTTATTTTTTAAAAATTAAACTTAAATGTCGAAGGATAAGAAATTATAACGGGGTATAAACTGTTGATTTATTCCAGGTTAAAGGCAGTTAACATTAGGACTTACATTGTTAGGCTTTAAAAATTGACTGATTAACGTTAGATTAATTCTTAATCTCAGTCTCATTATATCGAGTCGAGGTTTCGTTGTTAGGGTCAGAGTTAGAATTAGGCCTAATGTGAGGTGTGCAATGCACATTACATTTTTCAGGCCAGTTCTGTCTAAGTGTTTTTCAGACTTGGAGTGATTGCAGTTATGTGATTTTAAGGTAAGTATTGTTTTGGGTTTTAGTATAAATATTTTTTTCTACCACACAAATTATAATGCTTTTGTATTGTTTCTGTTTTTGCTGCCCTATTGGAAAAATATTGTCATAAAATAAATGCATATCTTTGTTTTTATTAATGTTAGTCATTTCCTGTTTTTTTAGTAAATTTAATTTTTATGTGAATCTTAATAATATACACTGAGTTGTGTGCTATATAATTAACATTTCTTTTTGAGATATAACTTATTATGTTTATCAAGCATGATTTAATTTATTTCAGGATTTTATAAGAAATATGTTCCGTGTCCTGTCATACTTTTCAAAATATTTCATCTGTCATTTATTTCACCCAATGCAGTAGCTATGTTTTGTGCACCATTGCTCTACAATGCAGTTTAAGAATATAAAAGACCAGTCAGAAGGCTATTTACTTAGTTCATTGAAGCAACTAAGTAACAAGCTCATTCTAAATATAACCTCACATTCACATGTTCCTACCTCAGTTAATGTGGAATAACCTGGTTTACCAACTTTCAAGAGTTGGGAGGCTTGTGTCATAGAAGCCATTAAGCATTCGAACATTATGGATGATTTTCAGACTTTCCTCATGTTAGTCTGGTCATTGTTATGAAATCATAACCTGATAGTAGGCATGCAACTCTGTTGCAATTATATTCAGAGAGGCATCTTTAATACTATATGTTAGAGGTGGGTAATTAAATTGATATAATCAGTTACCCATGAGCAGTGATTACATTGATTAATGTCACCTAAAGTACATAAATCAAAATTATTATTCTAACAATTGATTAATCAAAATTGCAAAACATATTGATCTCCTTTCACACTACATCTGTTACTCGACTGCTAAGGTATCTTTCCTTTACCCATCTAAGCATTGGTCAGATTTTTTCCCACTTGCTCCAGTCTTTTATTCTTCACTTAATTGCCCTTGGTGATATCGGTCTTGTGACACCCTCCACCTATGTCAGTGTGCCCTCTATCTTGGTACTGTATATAAGCACCTCCTTCAGATAATATTGTCACTTTTTCTCGACAAAGCATTCACTAATTTGGAGATACTTTGAGTGTTCTTCATGTTACCTATTTGATTTTTGAAAAAAAAAAACCTTTTCGTTTGGCAAGCTGATTTACAGCATGCATTCCCGGATTAATGAATCCTGCACAGAAGCAAATCAGGTCTCTCCTATCCCACCTCTGATATGTAGTATTGCTCACGAATTGCTGTTTTAAGTGTGTTTCATTTCCGATACAATGTGGCCAGCGACAAAAGTGTTATGTAAAAAGGTTTTGGGGATATTTTGCTTTAGAAATGGTTAAAAAAGAGATAAATAAAACTATACTTAAGTGTTTAAGTAAAATAAAGACTGATTGAGAAAGAGGTTCTAAGCTAATTTATACAAACAGATTTGGAAACTTATCTTAAATATATAGTAAGTTTTAAAAAAAAATTAAGGTTCACACTATATGAAAGAAATAAGCAAAGAATAAAAATTGTTTTTCTTACAGTAATGAAACCAATGATTGGAGATCACTGATTCCAAGGCCCCCCCAGTGGCACAGTGGTATGTCTGCGGATTTACAATACTAGAATACGGGTTTCGATAACTGTGGTGGGCAGAGCACAGATAGCCCATTGTGTAGCTTTGTGCTTAATTACAAACAAAAAAACACTGATTCCAGGATCAATATTGATTCCAAAAGGTCCAACAGTGTTTAGATTAGTGATCTAGTAAGGTTCTTTTATCACTCTCAGATTTAGTTTTGAATCCTGTTTCAATGCCAATGAAAGCAATGGAATGACTTGGATGGTTAAAGTGTTGAGATATTTTGTGGTGTTAATAGAAGAGTTATGGTTGTTGAAACATTCTTTAAGAGTTGTTTGTGTATGTTCCACATATTGGTGATTGCATTTTTTACACTGTATAAAGTAAATGGTGTTTTGTGTTCCACAAGTAATTTCTTTGAAAATTTTAAAGTTTTTTGGTTGTATTTGTCAGAAAATGAGTCGGTAGTTTATATGAACTTG